TTTTATGCCCAACAAGTTTGGAACACGAACTGCAAATAGCTTGAGAAGGCATCACAGAGTAGAACAAATCCAAAATCGCGGACACAGGCGGGATTGTGGCTTCCAGAATTAGTCAGAGACTATACACCAAAATAGCACAGATGAAAAAATACACAAAAAGAAAGATACTGTTACAATATTCACATAGAAAATACGACTGTAACACAGTGATCCGAAGCAAAGTAGAATCCAGCACACTATGATACAAAAATCCGCTTATTCCGTAGGTACATTTGGACTGATATACAATATGATTCAATTAAATTTTAGTTCCAGGGAATGCTTTTTGCACCCCGGGTGGACATTTATCTGTTACACACACAGAACATTAAAAATAGAATACAGAAAAACACGGCAGGCCGCAAGCAATCTCGTTACAATGAATAGTTGCTTGTAACAGACATAACAACTGCGTAGTGTACAGGAATACGCGTTCTTTCATCATTTTACAACATTGGAATTTACCGTCGCTTTAGCCATCAAAACGTGCACTTGTTTTACTTACGACACTTCCGTTGACACAAATCGTTTGGTGTGTACCTTGCTGCACCGTTTTTCACTCTCGTTCATTCGGTTCCTATTCTTGTAGCTTGCACAATGCACGTTGTGCCTAGTCGCCTGCAACTTTATATTATCCCGTATTCGACACGGCTCTTGCGTGTCAATGATTGCCGACAATACCCTAAGCGCCACCCAACAGTTGGTGACCCCGGTCCAGAACATGTCGTCTGCCATTTTGATTTTTCTTTTTGGTAAGCTGGTTCCAGTGACTTTTATTCACTACTCGCTATCGCTTTTAACCCGCCGCCGCGTGTACCTATTCATTTCTTACGATGAATAGTCTTGATGATAAACTGGCTACGTACGTGGTTAGTGCCGTAGAGCGATCCTTTCTAACTTTTAGGGAGAATAACCCGTTGTTACGGTTTGCGCATTTAGAAGCCACTTTTTACAATTGTAAAATTACTTCTGATAGTTCTAAATATCATCAACTTATGTCTCGGCTTCCGCAAAGCGTATCCTCCCGGGGGAGAGACATCATAGTTTGCCCCTTCCGAAGCGAATTATGAGACTTTGAAGCAGGCAATCATCCATCGAATCAAGTCCGCTGGTAAGGTCAGACCGCAGCAGCTGTTTAGAGATCTGCAGCTAGGGGACAGGATGCGTTCAGCCTTGTTGCGACAGTTGCAATCGCTCGTATGCACATCCAGCATCAACGCTGGGATTCTCCACGAAATGTGGACGCAAAACCACCCGGAAAACACGCAGGACTTCCTCACCCTAGCAAGCGCCCTACCTCTCGCAGCACTTGCAGAACTGGCAGACGGTGTCATCGAACGACATCAGCCAACGAACTAATCTAGGACATTCACTTAACCTAGTCCCGTTGCAGCTCCAAGGACATCCGCAACTAGTGATCCGTCAGCAATCGGTGCTGTATCATCGCAAATGGAGTCATTACAACGCCAAGTCGAGCAACTCTCCCGAGACCGTAAGCAGCGCAGCCGTCCTAGCTCATCACCCCGTCGCACGAAGCGTAACGATTAAGGCTTTTGCTTTTACCACTCTCGTTTTGATAACAAAGCCCGTAATTGCGAGCAACCATGCAGTTTCTCCACCGACAAGCAGAAACTCGTTTAGGTCGGCCGGTAATGGCGACTAACGGTGTCGGCAAAGCCCAATGTCGTCTCATCTACGTTAGAGGTTATGATTGCGTGACCCAGTTCTTAGTTGATACCGGTGTGGGTGTCAGTGTCATTTCCCCTATGGCAGGTGAGCCTATGGCTGCTTTGTCGACAAACTTAAGTGCCGCCAATGGCGAACCAATAGTCACCTACGGTCATCGGTCGCTTACTCTGGACCTAGGTCTTCAGCGCACGTTCCGCTGGGTATTCACCTTTGCTGCAGTCCCTCTGCTATCATCGGCATTGATTTCTCAGGAACTTCAAACTCTTAATAGATGCGAAAAGCCAGATGATATTTGGCGCTACAACGAAGCTCAGTGTACGTGGCATCACTGTCGACATCGCATCTATAACATCAGTCCACGCCTTTCGTCAGACTTCACCAGCCTACGCCAACCTCATTTCACAGTATTACAAGCTTCTTCAGCCAATGAATACAGCTTTGCTTATGGTACCTTAATTCACTCATCACATACGGTCGAATGGCCTCCTATCTCATGCTGTCCAAGCCGACTATCGCCCGAGAAACTAAAGGAGGCTAGGACGGATTTTGAGCACATGTTCGAACTGGGAATAATCCGCCCTTCCGAAAGCCCTTGGTCCCCAAGAAATCTGGTGACTGGCGCCCTTGCGGTGATTACCGGGCACTCAATCGGCTAACTGCCTTGGATAGGTATCCCATCCGACACATGCGGGACCTTAACGCATGCCTCACTGGTAAGACGATCTTCAGCAATATGGATCTGGTTCGCGCCTGGCTTCAGATACCTTTAGAAGAAAACGATATTCCTAAATCAGCCGTTATCACTCCTTTTGGATTGTTTGGATTTTTAAGAATGCCTTTTGGACTGTGCAACGCCGCACAGACTTTCTAACGGTTCACCCGCAATATCACTCCTGATCTAGACTTGGCTTACTCCTACCTCGGTGATAATTCATTAGCCGGTTCAGCGGAACAACAGCACCTCTAGCGTCCTCGAACTCTCTTCCAGCGATTGACTAAACTTGGTGTCACAGTCAACCAGACTAAGTGCGAATTCGGCAAATAAAAGGTAGAATTCCTAGGTCACCTCGTTTCATCGTCTGGGGATCGAAATCCTCCCCAATAAAACCCAGGCAATCAAGGACTTCCCAGCTCCGACTTAGTTCAAGCAGATCCGTCGATTTTGTGGTTTGGTCAACTACTATCAACGCTTCATTCGGCGTTGCGCTCAGCTCATGCAGCCTCTGACTGACCTATTCAGTGGGAATGAACGTAAGTTCGCTTACCACGACACAGCACAGGCAGCCTTCGCCGAGCTCAAGAATGCTATCTCCAACAAAGCCCTCTGCGCTCATTCCGAAACAACTGTACCCCTTTCTGTTACGACTGATGCCTCAGACGTTGCGGTAGGGGCTGTCCTCCAACAAGTTGGTGGGCTAGGTCAACCCCTTGGGTTCTTCTCCAAACATCTGCAGCCAGCGGAATCCCGCTACAGTACATTTGGCAGAGAACTTCCGGCGATTTACCTATTCATTCGTCACTTTCGGCACACATACACGAGGGCAGCGCTTTCACGGTCTACACTGACCACAAGTCCCTTATCTTTGCCTTCAACTATGCTTGCAACAAATATTCACCACGGGAAACAAGACAACTAGACTTTGTCACGCACTTCACCGCTGACATATGTCATGTCTCAAGTGTTGACTATCCCGTAGCCAATGCCCCCTCACGCGGCAACTTCCCTTTTCAGTCTTTGCTTACCGTCAATCTTGCGGCCATTGCATCGGCTCAGGCTCAAGAGAAAGACATCCAAGGCACTCTGCAGTCTATCTTGCTGCGACGGCAACCTATTCCTCTCCAAACCACGGAAGCAACTATTCACTGCGACACTTCCACAGGTTGTCCTACACCCCTTGTTACCATCTCGTTTAGCAATACTGTGTTGGACGCACTCAACACAATATCACATCCCGGTATCCGTGCATCTTCGAAACCGTACACCGAACGGTTCGTTTGGCCACGCGTAAACTGGTGTGCGTACCTGGGTTCGCGCCTGCCTTCATTACCAGCACTATAACATACATAGTCACATCCGCATTCCTCTTGGTTCAATTCTTGCTCCGGAGTTTCGGTTCTCGCATGTACACTTAGACCTGGTAGGTCCCTTGGCTCCTTTACGCGGATTCGCACACATACTTACCTGTGTCGACCAGTTCACCAGATGGCCAGAAGGCATTCTGCTAACAGACTGTACAGCCGAGACTGTTATCCGGAACTTCTTGGATCGGTGGTCCCGCACTACGGATGCCAATCCACCATTACAACTGACCCAGGAATGCCTTTCGGATCTTTACGTTTTGCTAAGTTTTAAGCTGCCGCCGCATTCATACCACGCCATATCACCCAGCAGCCAAGGGTTTAGTTGAATGCTACTATAGACAGCTAAATGCCTCGCTTCGCCCCTCCTCCGACCCCAGCTGGTGCGAAAATATTTCGCTCGCACTCTTGGGCATTCGCAGCAGTACCAAAGCTACTTTTGCAATATGCACTACCAGAGCTGGTTTACAGCACAAGGCTAAAGTTGCCAGGAGAATTCGTTGCGTCTCCCGCATTGTCGTGTTTGCCACCGTCTAACTTTGCGTTCTTCCTAGCTTAACGCACGTGTTCACTACGACTGACTCCGCCCCGTGAGCAGACTAGAGATGCGTAAATGCACGGCGGACTCACTACCAACACACGCCTCTTCCTCCGCAGCGACGCAGTGCGGCGCCCTTTCCAGCCTCCCCAGACTGGCCCTCTCAGAGTCCTGCAATGGACTCCAAAACATTTCACTTTAGACTAGAATGTTCATCAGACAACGTTGTCCACTGACTGCTTCAAAGTGACATTCTTTGACAAACCAATTGCAATGCATCCTGATGTTGGCACACAAACACCCGCACCTGCGGTGACTTCCAAAGCACTGGCTATCTCGAACCCCTTTGTTCCCCTTAACCTTCAAACTACCCCGCCTCAAGCCTAAGCAACCGACCGATGTGGTAGACAGGTCAAAGTTTCGGTCCGTTTTACAGATCTTGTAAACGTTTGCCATTTCCATTAATACTCATTGTCGCCTTTAGTGGTAATCGTGCGCCTCATCCCCAGACCGTTTATAAAATTGACCAAAAGTACTCAAAACATTTTGAAAACATAAAAACTTATTTGATTTTATCATACCAGCCATGTACCCTCTCCAACGTCAAGCCACTTTCCCCAACCCTTGCAAACCCCCTCTGTGTTCTACCTTCCAGAAACTCAACCGCCTAAACTGCCAATTCAACATTTGAGTGACTAGCCAACCGGCTCATCGCAACCCAGATTAACTCGAAGCCGATCCGAGAGACCCTTCCTGACTCAAGCAATAGTCAGTAGCCCTCGGCTTCAGACGGTCACGAAGAGGTTGGTCCACAAACTCCTGGCTAGGCGTTGCCGGCGAGGACGCCGGAGTTCTTCGTGGGACGAGGACGTCTGTATTTCTTATTGAGAATAGGATTGTGGACTGGAGCGCAGTGGAGGGAGTGGCACTTTCAGGCGCACCGTCGGGTCTGCAAGCGAGGGACTGTCTTGTGGGTCTTTATTCTGGACTAGCCAGTATTTTTGCAGTCCGACCCGCCCGCCCCGACGGCCCACCGATGATGCACTCTGGTCCATACGATTGTCATAAATAATTAATAACAAAAGCCTGGACCCAGCCAATTCTGTTACAAGCGCCATATTGGAAGCTCTTGTTCAAGCTTAAGCAAGTATTCGTACCCATCCTCACTACTCGTTTTCCCCCACTAACAGTTACATCGAAGGCTTCCATCCTTCAGTCTTCGAGGGGGAGGCTCTTGTAGGGTACCGCAAAAACATTCTTTCATTATTTTACAACATTGGAATTTACCGTTGTTTTAGCCTTCAAAACGTCCACTTGTTTTACTTACGACACTTCCTTTGACACAAATCGTTTGGTGTGTACCTTGCTGCACCGTTTTTCACTCTCGTTCATTCGGTTCCTATTCTTGTAGCTTGCACAAGGCACGTTGGGTCTAGTCGCCTCCAACTTTATATTATCCCGTATTTGACACGGCTCTTACGTGTCATTGAGTACAGACTAGTTTCCCAGGCGCCATGCAACAAATCTCTAGTGGCACAAAAGATGCACCATATACGGCACTACGCATAAGTAGTAAGCCTTTGTATGAGAATGAATGGACTAGTACTTTTGTCTAGTTGTTAATGTTTATATACAGTTAGAGAGTGAAGCATAAAGGGAATGAATTGCCTCAGCGGGTATTTCTGAAGTAAGTCTTTTGCATGAATTGGAATGAGTGTACACAATATCGTGACCAAATGTCGGATTTAGAATACCACTACATTGCGACAAATGTGACAAGCACCTATCTAGGATTCTGCAATGCTTCCTTAGGAAACCGGAGAATATCACAGAGGAGCAATAAATCCAGTGAGGTAGGACAAAGGCGGTGATAAACTGCAGAATGAGATGGCGGAGGACAGAGGAGAAGCGCAAATGAGCAGAATAAATGGAACGCCTCCTCATTTTTGTGGTCTTATGGGAATTACTGTCACGGATTTTTAACCAAGTGGAATTCGAGCGCTTTTCCAGCTATATAGCTGTAGGCTATCGCTTATTAAAGGAAGGGTTAAGATTATATCCTGCAGTGTGTTAGGTTGGCTACATGTTTTTGGAGGTGCGTATATAATCGATGAAAGCAATTGTAGGTTTTTACGAACGGTTGGACAGTAACGTTATTGAATGAGTAAATAACAGTAAACTCGAAAATATTGTTCATATACTGCAAAACGTCTTTGAAACAGATGATGGAAAATATAAAAAGAATTACGGCGGCAAATGTGGAGATGTGAACAAAATCCAACAGGAAAATTCAGCCTACAGTATGACCATATACAAACGCTGCAGCGCATTGCTTTAGTGACTTGTTGATATCGAAATAGATAACTTGATTGTCACAAGATTGATGACAGTAGCATCAGGAATATGTGGTGCATCCATGCTGAGTGAAGACAATGGTGCAGTGATCGGATGTAGGGTACTTCACTCCATCGGACGGCGAACTGTCAAGGAATTAACTGCGTTGGTTGCTGATGTCACGCCAGGGAAGCAGTAGCCAAATTTATGACGCGAGAAGCAATAGACTTAAATTAAATGAAGGTATCTGTTCACAGAAAAGCTACACGGACAAGGCTGTATGGAAACAACATCAGCATCACTCCTATGCAAAACAAGCGATACTTAGCCGGAATGCTGTTTGATCGACTCCAAAGTGTATATATTGACGACTGGTCATAATTGATGTTCATCACACAGACCTTACGCGCCAATGGATATATGGAGGCATTCATTGGATTTTACAGTCAACAGAAGGAAAACAGACCTTGGAAACTTAATGCGCCCTTCTATCTTCAATTAACTTCTAAAAGTGATACCGTGACAGTACAACTTCAAAGACGTTTATACACAGTGATTGGCGGGACCCTCAGTGCCGCCAAACTCTGTCACTTTTAGGTGAGCGGTAAGTTGCTGATGCCTTCAGTGTACCTTACTCAACTGATCTCCACCACAACTCATTGTGTTTATCAATTATTTTGTAGCTGCGAAGTACTTGCCTTGGCGGAATAGATCAATCTTTGGGTAAGCGGATTGGAGTTCAAATCCCAAGGAGCATGGCTACCTTATCAACACAGCAAGCAGCCAAAAAAGAAAGGGTATCTAGGCTGCTGGCACTATAGATTACCTAGCATCTAATCAAACCAGACCATCAGATTGACCCTAAGTAAAGATTTATAGTTGTCTATCAAATCGAAAACCTAGAGTGCTGAAGTTTTCCAAAGCTGTGGCGCTTAACCGATCTTGCTCTGTTCTTTGTATACAGAAATAATTGAAAGCCCCCTTAAAGCTTTCTTGGAGCTCGTTACCTTTAGGGTCAGGGTCGTTGCTCTGATCTTGCGCCTACATAATTTCCCTTGGTTACAAGTCTCAAATCTTTGATTTTTTCTGTCACGTGGCTTATATTTATGTTGTTGGTTTGCGGGGGATCAGATACCACGAAACAGTTTTATCTCGCAACACCAGTCTTCTCATTGTCTTATTTAAATTAGGAAGCGGTAAAAACATAGTATGACGTAGTTTGAGCACCATGACTGTCTGTTCACTCTGTTACTGATATAATTAATAGAAATGCATAATAACTATGGTTTGCGACATCCATCTATTCCAGTAGAATCTTTACCATACCTGAAGATCTACTAACGAAAGCAAACGTGATGTTGAAAGTTGCATTTTTGTAGACTAGGAACAACACTTATTCGTCTTCGCACAGTAACACTGGTGTAGTTCTTCTGAGTGCTTTATATGGAAAAAAGGAACTATAATACAAACATGACTCTGCCGATAGTTAGGGACGCACACATTTCGGTTTCACTGACCGCATCAGATACGGCAGGGTTACATGAACAGTGTTATGTTCTGCTCGAGCTGAAGCTTACGTGAGCTTCATTTCTCAATGTCGTAACTAACTAGCCGAAGTAAATGGTAAATTGTGTTTTCTTTTTTTAGATAATCGCATCCACGACTGGACGGATCATATTTAGACCAACGGCATGCTCAAGCGTGTGGTCGTTTGTACCTACGGGTGAAATGCCAGAACTTTTAAGGCAGGGCGGCACAATTCCATTGATCTTCTCACACTGATATCACGCGACTTGGATGTATCGTTTCTTCCTCGCTCATTCGACTACTAGTTTGTAATACCAGCTCTCTAAGTGCTACACTCTGGTTTCCGGACACCTTGCGCTCTGTATCCCATAACTCGCTGCTCAACTCTATCCGTCTCCCTTTTCCTTGGTCTATCCGTAGCTGTCCATCACGTAGTTTCATTTACTCCAATTACCTCGTCGTCTGTCGTCTTAGTCTTCGGAATGTTGTAATTCTTGTGGCATATTCCCGCTCATCCATTTGCAGACCTACATACATGGCAAGTCTCGCTGGCCTGGTTCGACAGGACGTTTTACTTGTGACTACCCTCTGCTTTTTCATGGCAATTTTCTTATTATAAACTTGTCGAACGACTGAGCTTTATCACCTTGGTTGTTCAGATCTCAAGATAAATTTGCTGTAAATAACGCGCAACATTCATTGCCCAACTGACCACAGCCTATGGGTGCTTCCTCAATGAACTGCTTTGGTACACTGGCAAAATTAATCGACTCACCTTGCACAGCTGTTAAGTCTTGTCTGACTTACTATTCGTCCGCTCCTTACGCAATGTGGTTTCTTAGCCGCTCAGTTGTACATGAGACTCTAACTCTAAACATTTATGTCTCCAATGCATTTGCACCGGTTGCTTCTGTACTGGCGCTGATCCTTAGAGAGCTAATGTAGCCTAGTCGCCGTGCTGACTGTGACCTAGATGAAACAGTGTCAGATTACACTTACATCACACACATTTTCCAAATTAACACAACGCATGGTATGTTGTCAGTATTGATAATATACTAAGTTTGTTTTATTTCTATTGCATTCCGATGCTCCGTAGTTTGTTTGCCTTTTCTTTAGTAACCATCTTCTAAAGGCGAAACTCGTTTGAAAGTAACCTAGATACTCATCTGGTAGCAAACGCCCCCAGATGACACTGTTACTAGCCGAAAGCTTGAGCAAAGCTGAGGAGCCGGTTGTAGCTATGCGAGTTAATCAGGGGCTGTGACTGCAAATTGGTCAGGGGTGTGTTGTACCGGATAACCAGTTGTGCGGAAGGAAGTTAGTAGCATATGACCAATTGGCTAATCAGGTGCACACCTCGATGAGTCAGAGAGGGATCCCGGTTGGCTCACTGACAGATAGGTTTGGCCAGAACACCCACTTGCGGACAAGATACGCACAACGGACCACATAGACAAAGCGGAACTGCCGTACGCAACCACGGCTCAAGGGGAATGAAAGAAGCCGGAGCAGAAGCTAACGGAGACAATCGGTGCGTGTGACCAATGAGCACAAATTAACGCGGAATTCGCAAACGAACAGGAAGCGGCCAATGTGTAGGCCATGCCGGCAGACAAACATTTCTCATTTTCCTACAAGGTTAAAACGTGCTCTGCTTTTTCAACCACAGACTGCTCGTTGCGCAGTTTCTCTTTTAACCCTCGGAGGACTACATGCACAAAGTTTACAGTGGAACACATTTCCTAAATACATGTATGACTTACTGGTCCCCTAAGAGTAGACTGGCCTGTTGACGCCATAACGTTTTGCTACAGAGTGTTCCAACTTGCTAACTCTTTGACCAATTGTCCTCATAGTCTGAACAA